CTTGTAAAAGCCATAAGTTCTGTTAAACAGATCTATTTTACTGTAAACTGATGTGGCAGCTCTGGAATCTGGAAACACCTTGTCATATACAGCAGGTACAAGTAAAGCCTCATTTGTGTGCCTGAGGAGCTGCAGACAGACAATTCATGTTCTGGCTCCCCCAGGAGGGAATATCTGAGATTTGGGTCTTTGCTCACAAAATTTCATCCAATAATGGAGAGGCCATTAAAAGGATACTTGTTGAATACAGTAACAGTTAAAATTTCTAACTAAGCTTTATATGATCTCTTAATTCAAGTAGTTCCACATATGGAACAGATTTTTAAACCATGTCTGCATGTGCACACCCAGGGCAGAGGGACCTTTCCAGCATGTGTATCTTTTAGGGTAAATTTTGGGGGCCTTATTTCATAATTCTTGTTTCCCTGCTGCTGCACAGGTTTGCTGTGAGTGTTGGCTACTGGAAGGACCCTTACATCCAGCATTTTGTGAGACAAGCCAAAGAGAGGAAGGCACCTGAGATCAACAGAGGCAAGTTGGAGCAGGGATGGGGACACCTCACCTGTCCTGACAACACCTCTGCACCCTGGGCTTGGGGGTGGGAATGTGAGAGAGAGTGAGAGGAGGTTTCTTCACAGCAGTAATTCCATCCATGCTGTGTCTGATCTTTGAAATATCAACCTGTGAGTCAAAACTCTCTTCCTTTGCTTTCTGAGTTCTGAGTGGGTGTTTCAGTGTGTCCCTGTCTAGAGATCTCCTCAAAGCAGTCAGAAATGCTGGTTTGACCCATGGCAGTTGGGTCTCTGCAAGTAGAATTATTCTGCTCTGCTTGAGGGGGAACTTGACTAAAACTTCTGTTTGCCGAAGGAGTTGGGTTTTATCAGTGCACAGGGCTTGGTTTGTAATTAAAAAAGAAAAAGGAAAGACCTTAGGTAGTTGAAAAGAGGGCATTATTGCTCCTCCAGAGTGCCTGGGGACCTTCCTGAGTGCTGAGCATGGAGAGCTGTGTGCCAGGGGTGACTCCCAGCTCTGTGTGTGCTGCAGGTTATTATGCTCGGGTGCACGGGGTCAGTTACCTGATCAAGGCTTTCCTGCAGAAGACACAATGCAACTCTCAGATTGTCAACCTCGGCGCTGGCATGGACACCCTGTTCTGGAGGCTGAAGGTAACGGGGGCTGCAGGGCCAGGCCTGGCTGGGACAGGGGCTGGGGGACCCCTGGGGGGCTGCCCTGGGCTCTGCAGGCTGGCTCTGTGCCACAGGGCAGCACAGCAGGACTCCCACACAGACCCCCACAATAGCTGGGCTTTGGGGGACCTCTGGGGATCACCCAGTGCAGCCCCCTGGCCAGGCAGGGTCACCTGGAACAGGTGACACAGGAACGTGTCCATGGCTCTGCCACCCTCATTGCAAGGAGGTTCTTCCTCATGTTAACATGGATTTTGTTGTGTTTTAATTTCTGGGCGCTGCTCCTTGTGCTGTCCCTGAACAGAGTCTGGCACTGTCCTCTGACACCCCTGGGAGGGATTTGTATGGACTGATGGGATCCCCTCTCAGCCTTCCCTTCTCCAGACTGACCAGGCCCAGCTCCTGCAGTCTCTCCTCATCACAGAGGTGCTCCAGATCCCAAATCATCTCTGTGGCCTCTGCTGGGCCCTCTCCAGCAGCTGCTTGTGTTTCCTGGGGAGCAGGACTGGACCCTGCAGCTCTCCAGGGATGGGTGCAGAGGCAGGAGCACTCCCTGACCTGCTGCCACACTTTCCCCATGTCCCCTGGGATTGCAGTTGTGAGTTTATTTATGTAAATCANACAGCAGGTCCCAAACCAGCCCCATCCCAAGGGAATGGGATCCCACCTGCTCACATCTGTGACACAGCAGGTCCCAAACCAGCCCTCAGCTGCTCTGTGCCCTGGCCAAGCTGCTCCCAGTGCATACAAGCCCTGGGCCTCCACAGAGATGGTGGTTTAGAGGAATTAGGACAGAAATCCCATCAAAATCAATCCCAGCACGTGGCCCCTAAGGAATCACAGGCCACCTGAAATTCATGGAGCTCAGAACTGAAGTTACTCCTTTCTGCTCCACCCCCTCCCCAGCTAATTTATTCAGCCTAACTGCACTTCCCAGCTGTTTGCAGCTGGATTGAGGATGTAGCTCAAGATAAAGCCAGCTCTGAGCTGGTTCCTCTGGCTGATCAGCCCTGTGCCCACTGTGGGCAAGATGCCACTTGATGGCATTGCATTAATTCAGCTGATGAGGAACTGATATTTCCTGGCCAGCCCTGCCTCTGCCCACCTGCAGGTCCCAGCCCTGCTTTTTGGGAATGATCCTGACGGGATGTGGGAGCCTTTAGGATGCCATGGGCACCTACACACGCCAGGACTCCCAGTTCACTCCAGCCAGGCCTGCCCTGAGATCACCTTGTGGTGCCACCTCCAGTGCCAGGCTGTGTCTCAGTCACCCTGCCCAAGCTCTGATATTTCACTTCTTAGGTTTCCCAGGGCTTGTGCTGCTCCCTTCAGCAGCACCGACAACAAATCTGTCCAATATACGAAATATAAAATCCTCAGCAGCAGATTGAACACTTAAGGCAGCCAAGAACATCCATGAGATAATTGCTGCAAAATATTTAACACATCTATTAATTATTGTGGAATCCTGTTCCACTGAGCTAATCCCCTCTTTAATTAGTTTCCTACACGTATTTCATAACTCCATATAATTCCATCTGTGGACTCACAGCCTTCTCATAAATGCCATTCCTCAGCTTTGATGGTGCTCTTGCCCATCCTTTCTTATTTCCCATATTCAGGTGTTATTTCCCTGATGCCAGGTGTGATATTTGGGGTCCAAGGCCCAGGATGGCAGCCCTGGAAGCAGAGCAGGAGGGGACAGCCCTGCCAAACACAGCACCAGGAGCTGCAGCAGCCAGGCAGGGATCAGCCCCAGGGGATGGACCCCTCACACAGATCCCAAATTCCTCCTGGCAGCAGCTCCTTCCCAGCAGGGCCATGGAACACTGAGCCACCACCTCTGCAGGCATTCACACACCCACAGGGACCCCCTCATTCCATCCCAGTGTAAAAAACCAACAAACCACCAGCTCAACAGAACATAATACAACTCAACAGAACACATCCTACTGCCTGCAGGATCCTGCTGGATGTCTCTCGTGTCTTCATGAGCCCTCAAACCAAATCTGAAAGCCTCAGCCCCAGTACCTGGAAGTGAAACCTGTTAAAAGCCCTCCCTGCTATGGGATTTAAAATAATAATTTTATTCTGGGGAATAAAATAAGGCCCTGGTGACTACAGGAATGCTTGACTAGCACATGAAATGTGAGCAATACAAAATAGTCATCATTAATGAATACCAAACACGTTAAACCAAATGACTCGGTGTCATTTCTGCAGCTTTTAATGAAAACCAACGACAGCAGTGTAATTTTTAATGAAAACCGACGACAGCAGCGTCAGCACTTGGGTGAGAGCAGCCAGCCCCAGCCCTGCGTGCCCAGGGCACCCCGAGTCCATGGCCAGGTGTGGGG